GCGTGTGGAACCAGACGAGACAGAAGGTGAGGAGGAAACCCAGAAAGCAGCTCGTCTGGACCCACATCCTGTTGTTATCATGGACACCAGCGCGCGCGTTTGTGAGTTTGTGCTTGAAAAAAGGGCGAAGTGAGCAAGAGAGATTTGCCCCTTTTTCTTTTTATGAAAAGAACACGAAGTGAATGATTAATTCTAGTATTAAATTGGCATCACTGACCCTTTTTCCTTTTTTTTTTTAAGAGACTTTGTGTTTGTGCAGCAGAAGAAAAAAAAAATGGCTCTGACTTGTAGGATAAACCTGCTTTTAGTTCATTGTGGTGTTTTTTTCTTGGCATAATATCAATCCCACTAACGTTGGCACGTCAAATTAGCTTAGTCTTGTTGATACGAGCACCACTTAAAAGATATTAACCGTTAAAATCTACTTAATCAGAGTCCTCCATACCTTTTTATCAGGTCATTTCTTTGATTTGACTAACTGGAATTACAGAAAATGATCAAACAATCCAAATCAAAACAGTTAAAGAAAGAAAAAGAAGAAAACCGAACCAGACGGATGGAGGAAGAAAGACACAGAGTCAAAATTTAAAGAGGTCAGACTCACCAAAGTAGACAGGCTTCCCACAGATTGGACAGTAGGCTACCATAGTACGTAATTATTTATCACACAGCGAATATGTGTGTGTTTGGGTGTGTATGTGTGTGTATATATAGATAGATAGATATCTATAGATGCACTTAAAGCTGGTGTGAAAGTCAGGAGCGTGAACTGAAAAACCGTTAAACTGTGAGACTGTCTGGGTTGTCAGCCCAGGATGTGGTGGGCAAAACGTCACAGGAAGTGAATAAAATTTGAGATTTGTGGCTCGAACATTGTTATAAACCAAAAAAGGGAGTGTCAGCTAGCAAGGTATCAATTTCAGTCATGTCCTCCACGTACTAAAACGTAAAAGACTTTAAGATAACCACCGTGTCACTGTCAGTACACAGCACGTGTAACCCTTTAAAGGAGTCATATTATACCCTATTTTAACAAGTTAAACTAGTTCCCTGGTGTCCTAATGTAATGTCTGTGACAAGCTTTGGTCAGAATCCCATAAGGATGAAGCCCAATAGCAGTTCAGTCCCCCTGCCTAACCCTAACCCTAACCCTAACCCTAACCCAAAACAGCCCAGTTCAGAGCGCTTTAATTTAAAGAGTGCCTGTCTCTTTAAATTAAGTCTTTCGGATGTGAGACTTTCTGCATCATTCAGTGGTAAAAGCTTTGCTCAAACCCCTGTTGTACACATTCAGATATACCTGATAACAGCCACTAGAAGACCTCACCAACATAAATTTTTGACTTATTGCACGCTAATTTGATCAAACAAATTTCTGTTTTTTTTTCTTCATATGTTCTTGAGGGGCCAAAGAAAGACTTCAGACGAAAAAAATCCAATATTCTTCCTATTTTTATTGGATCAGGCTTTAAAGGGCTAACTCTTTTCCTTTCTGTGAAGTTCATCACAGTTCATCCTCTTTGTCCCGGCTTAGTTGAGACCGGCTACTGTCTCCCAC